CCAAATGCCTAACATAACAATGTGTGGAGACATTATGGAAAAAGGAGGCAAAGTTTTCAACTTTGATTATTTAAAGCTTCAGTGAGAAATGTCATAAACTCCCCTTCCTCCTCTGCTGCTTCTGGTCAGGAGAAACTACTTTGGCTTTTCTGTTGAGCTCACTATTCATTTAGAAAACAGTATGGTTGCTTTCTAAAAGAAGTTCTTATTTAACATCCCTTCTTCATGTTATCTTTCTCACATAGTAAGAAGTCAATGCGACTAATATCTTGTCAATCACACTGAGATTTCAAGATAAAAATGTTTCAGAAACAGCAGGAGGAGGTGGCTAATGGAACCAATATCTGGAGTTTGGTTTTGCTTCGGAGAAGCATTTGAACTCCTAGTCAACCCAGTAGGACCATTGAAAAATTTAGCGTATTAGGCAGATTTTGATACCCTCCTTCACCCTTGTTACAAAGTCAAGGACTTTTTTTTTTTTTTTAAAGCCCTGAAGAATGGGACAGGCCATGATGGGCTCTTTTCATCACTAGGCTTTGCTTTTCAGCTCTTAACACTGTAAATTATTTACCTTTCCAGGAGATCGCCTTGGAAATATTCTTCAAAAATGGTTACTCCAGATTTCTTGTCTTCCATGACAGCGACCGAAATAAGATATTTAAGAGGTAAGCACTATTTCATAATAACATGAACATCCAGGTGACACTACTGGTCTATTGCCCCTATTTATCCTGGCTTCAGATGTCTGTCTTGTGCTGCCCCAGGGGCTTTTTCTTCAATTGCAGCTCCTTGGTCTTTAATGGGTTATACTTAAGCAAAGCTATGAAATTTTCCTTTTCCTGACCTGTGAATTCTTCAGAGCATTATACAGCCATTGATTTATCAAGGGAGCTAATGCATGTGTAGGACTTTTCTAGCACCCAGTGGTGTGTTGCATGTCCCTGTATTCCAGGAAATTGCAATTTTAGCTGTGCTGCTTCCTTTCACTGAGATGAGAGCCACCAGTTTCTTCCTGCTTTATTTCAACATACAAAGTGTCATTAGATTAGTTAGGAATAGCATTCTCTGACTTTGTATCTTTGGTGTGGTGTTAACTTTTAACAATGGAATTTTTGTTGAAAAAAGTCTTCTTTTGTGCTTTTGTTTGTTGATGGGACTTGAATGTAAGGCTACAAAGTGATTAATTTGCACTCTATTTTCTTGCATTTTTTTTCTTACTGCAGTTCTGGCCATTCTATCAGGTTTACTTTCACTTTCACAGGAAAAGTACTTGAATACGTTGTATTTCCGGTGGTAAACTCTGCAGCCTGGACTGAGGTTTTGTACTGTTAATTTTACAACAATCATAGCAGTTCCTTCTGCTCCTGAAATCTCCGAACAGTTACTGATGGGAGTATTGCTTTAAAAGTTGATACAGATTTATTTGGTCTTCTTTTCTAAACTGGCTGCATAGTGTGGCTACTTAGAATCACCAGGTTCTGCCCCAGAGTCAGCTGCTTTGTTTAGCCCTTATCTTTGCTGACTCTTAGCTCTGACAAACATCTCTTGGGGAAGGCTGCAGAGGCAGTTCAAGAAAAGATTTTAATTCTCAGCTGCCTGTATTACCCCTCAGCTGAAGGTCACCAAACCTATGTATTTCAAGGGTTTAATGTGTCTAACGTTATAAACGCCCAGAGAAAGTACATAGGAATGGCTGAGATGTGGGTTGCTATTCCTTTCTGCCATTTTTGCTAGATAAATGTCTGAGTGTGTTCTCATTCTCTTGCTTTAATTAATAGCACTTTAACCACCTGATCGTAAGTCCATAGTCCTATGTATGAATTCAAGGCCCTGTTTGGGAAAGAAACTGCTTTTATCCAGGCCATAGGCAACTCCTTCATATTAAATGTATGCTTTTGCTGTGCTGTCTTGCAGCTTTGGCCTAGGTTGGAGTCTCAGTGAAATTCTGTCGTGTCCTTCAGGAAGAAAGTTTCTGTCAGGACAAGATATAGATTATATATATATATGTAATGTATACAGATAACAATTTAATTATAATGTGACCTTTCATATCTCCTATAGATTTTGCTCTTTCCAACCTGCTTTGAAGTCAAAGAGGATAACAGAAGAGTCCCTGAATATAAGGTAAAACATAGGAAATGTTGGATAACTTGTAAATAGCAAGTGCTGTTGTGTGAATAAGTGGCACCTTAAAAAAAAAAAAAGCATCTAGAAACTTACCTATTTGTGCCCCCTATTTTAAAGATTCAAAGGTTTCCCTAGAACTCCAAAAAGCATTCTAATGTGCACCATTCACAGTATGAAGACATGAAGAGCGTACTGAGTATCTGATTGTGCATAGTTGGTTAATAATTATTACCTCCTTAATATGACTTTATTGGTAAGCTCTACACTGATGGTTAGTGTGAGAAAGACACAGCCAGTGAGGTGAGGTTAGAACTAATCCATAATGCTTCTGTGTAATAGCCTCTTTATTGCGTGGTTAGGGCAGACAGCAATAGATGTACACATGGATGTTTTGGCATGTTATGATAACTGTGCAGTGGGGATTCCGATTGCTTCTCCTCATGGGAGGTGTTGGAGAACATGTTCCATGCTGACCTTGAGTTACTTGCATACCTGTAACTCTTCTCAGTTTGGATATCTGAGGAACACAACCCTAAGTGCCTAATTGGTGTCCTCTGAAGTTGTCATCTGGAAGCTGGAATACTGTTGAGACCTGAGGGGCAGATTGCTCCTGTGGGTTGCTGTGGCCTGAGTCAGCTGTACTCTTTCTATTTTTCACTCTACTTGTTGTAGATCATTATCTGTCTTGTAAGTGAACATTTTCACCCTTGAGTACCAACCATCAGCTTGCGAAAAAATATCAGTGCAGTATGCAAGCAACTCTGGCTAGAGCCTATCCTATGCCAGAGGTGATGATTGGCTCTATGGACCATTATGTGTGTTCTGTGTGGAGTAACGAATAACTCACTCCAGGGTTTCCTTTCCCTGTTCTTGCTGGGTGCTCAAAAAGTGGGAATGTCTTAAGTAAGGTGCACTGTGGCTGCAAGAACTTCAGGCTTTAGCTGGGTTTGTGATTATTTTGAGAAACACTTGACTCATGTTTGGTCTCAGAGATTGAAGCAGGCTGTATGCTTAGGTCTAAAGTAGCCTGTCTCAAATCCTATAAGGCCTTCAGTTTTACTCTGTTGGCTGAGAGAGGACGCTGTGCACCTTATTCACTCTGAGAATGTAAGGTGCCTTTGGCATAGCTGTGACTGGGCCATGTTACAGCATGAACTGAAATAAAATAAACATAAGATAGTGCCACTCTCTAAGTAATGATCTCAGAAAAGCTGTGCTTAAGTGGTAAATTACAGAAAATTACCCCAGTGGACATGCTTCCCTTTATCAAGCTCCGATCTGGGAACTGAAGGACTGAGGACTAGACGAGTTTGCTTTTCCCTCGTTTGAATTCTGGAGCTGCTTCTGAGGTAGAAAAATTCAGGAGCAGCATAAGGGGCTCCTTCTCCATCTAGGGGACAATGGCCATCTTCCATAGCATCCCAGCTTTTCCTGCCCTACCTGACACAGACAGGCCAGACTAAGCTCTTTGCCTAGACACGTTATTAACAACTGCACATCTGAAGCATGGAAAGAAGAAATTGCTAGTCTGATGTGTCATATGATGTTGAGGTAGTAGTATTTCTGGGAAACATAATTTTGTTTTTTCCCCCAGTCCATAGGAATGATACACAGGAGTTCTTATTCCCAGGTTCTACTGTAGCCATTTAAAAAATGACAATGGGATGTTACTGGACAACTGAGTACTTTGGCCCTGGCACTTCATTCTTCATTTAAATGTACTCAAATGTTTGCCATCACCATATTTAACTATGGCCCCAGCCAGCACCTCTTCTCATGTCATGCTTGACTGCTTTTATAATCTGCTCGTTGCTTGTACCTGTATATTGCTGTTTGTGGGCTCTCAGCACTCTCTGCCCTGGGGATGTCATTTGAGCAAGTGAATGTGTGTGCTCAGGTGCACACGTGCATGTGTGCATATGAACAGAAAGCTAAAAGTACTGTGTGGACACCAGACCTGATTTCATGAATTCACCAGCTGACTCTTGGATCATGGAAGAGGGTGACTTCATCTCTTAGTCACTGTTTAAGTGGTATGCCCAGGACCCTTAAAAAGAGCAATCTTTTTCCTACCCCTTCTCTCTTCTGTACCTTTTTTGGAGGGAGACTTAGAGGCAGACGAAACACAATGAGTATAGGTAGTGGTGCTGATTGTGTCATGCAAGTTAGAGATCACTGTACCCAGGTATAGCACCCAAAATCCCAGAGAACTTGCTTATGCAGAGTCTGGCCCCTTGGTGGCAAACAGGATCACTGGTTGTTTAAGCATTATGTTTGCACTGCTTAGTTACTCCTGGGCATACCATTTGTTTTTGCGGCCTCTGCTGAATTAGAATGGGCTCATGGTTCCTACCCTGTGACAATGCCTATCTGAGATTCTCTGTGGGGTTGGTGGCAGCCACTAGCAGCAGAAGGTTTCCAGGTCTGTTCCTTTTCCTCTAAATGGTGTTTACTGAGATTAGTTTAACTGTGTCTCACCCTATGAAAATGAACAGAACTAATGTCTGAGGCTCAGTGGTAGGAGTGGAGTTAATAGAAAAACTTATCTTTTTGAAGATTCCTTCACTGGACACATGCACACACCAGAAAAGACCAGAAAAAAAAACCCAAACAAACCCAAACATGGAGAACATGTTGTGGGAACAGGCCTAGATGGAAACAGTCTTTCCTTTCCCGAAGGCACCCTTTCCCAAATATACGTATGTTTTCGTTGTTTTGGATTTCATTTTAGAGTCCACACGGATCTGCTGCTTCTAAAACTCAGGTCTTTAAAGGAAGAGGACTGCAAGAAAAGAGAGGAGGAATGAGGTCAGCTTTTTATTAGCTTGGGTTGGACTTCATGGGACATGGTCTGTGGAGTGCCTTGGAATATTTCAGGGATGTTTATCTTTTAATCTCCATTCTTTTTGGTTATCCTTTGCAGGGGAATTGGGTGTAAGGAGTAAAGGGAAGCTTGGCTTCTTTGGGGGGCTGGGTGTCCCATTCTTTAACTTGTTTAACTTGTTCAGCTTGTCCCTCTCATCCTGACACATCTTCAGGCAGGAAGAGCACAGGTCTTTCTCTCGTACTAAGTGAAGTGTTTCTATGCGTTTAATGGAGTCAGCATGCTCTTCTTGCTGTGTTGAATCTGAGAAAGGATTTCTTTCTGCATTCAGTTTCTTTAGGTTAGGGAGACTTTTCACGCTGTTTGGGATAGTGGTCAAGGCATTGTCAAAGAGACCTATCTCCTTAAGTTCCTTCAGGGCCCCAAGACTGGTGGGAATACTGTCAAGACAGTTCAAACCAAGGTTGAGAATATGCAGGTTCTTGAGAAGGGTCAGCTCTTCTGGCAGATTTTTGGTGGTCAGCTTGTTGTTGCATATATTCAGGTAGAAAAGGTTCTGAAGTGTACCTATTGCCTTGGGCAGATCCTCGAGCTGATTACTATGCAGGTCCAGCCAGCGCAGTTTCTCAAATTTCTCGATGCTGCTGGGAATCTTTTTTAACATATTTCTGCTCAAATCAAGTTCATCCACGTCAGCCAGTTTCAGAATGCACTTGGGGAAGGTGGTGATACCCATCTTGCTTAAGTCAAGACGGCGCCCTCCATCAGGAGATATCCGGATGGAATTTCTGGCAATTTTCAAGGTGATCTTCTTCCCTTTTGGACCTTTTCCTTTCCCTTTGGCCATTTCTCCACTGAGAGACAGACAGACACACCAGACTCTGTGGGTAAAGTGTAGGAACTCCAGTAAAGCCTTTGAAAGCAGTGTCTCTTACTCCATAATTAAAAACAAAATAATCATATAGTTATAAATTAACATGTAACTACTGGACTCTTCTGAAGTCTTTTTTTTAAGGTCAGGACTTTTCAGCCCTGAAGATGCAACCCTGAAAGTTCTTCCTGAAAGTATTTTGAGTAGGTGAAATTCTAATAATTTACAATACTATTTTATTACATTGTAACACCTGTATTGCATTACAGGGTGAAATTACAAGTGTGAGAAATTTGCTGTCTTTCATCCCTAGATACTGATTTGAGCTCAGTATGTAATGAAACTGAATGAAATGTGTTATTATCCATACACTGTTTGAAGACCTGAGCAAAACGTATTGTGAGTCTCAATACAGTCCTTAGGGACTGCACTAAGCTATCCAAAACTGTACTTATTCTACAAGACCAACAGGTTGCCTTCTTTACAGGCCTGGCATCTGTTGACAGGTTGGTTAAACATACAGTTTAATGGACCTGAGATTTGCTCTCTGGATGCTATTGAATGATTAAATATTTAAAGCAAACGATTAAGAGTTTCGTTTTAACCAGGATGTCAGGAACATAGCAGATTTGCCGGGGCTGTTTGCAGTTCACACATCACGTGCAGGGCAGACTGCAGCAGGGGGCTGTGTCAGTGCTGCTTAATGACGTGTTAAACCAGGCCTTGGTAAGCATCTCCTGTGTTTTCAAGGACAGATTCTGGATACTCTAACCTTGTCTTTCCATCCATGATGTGGGATAGATGGACCCCTACGGTGAAGGTGCCCTGCCCTCAAAAAATGCCTGTGGGTGTTCTGGTCAGTCTTTTGACTCGTACCGATGCTCAGCTTGTGCTACGTGCTTTAGTGAATTGAGGCCTCTATGAGCAGTAGTCCACTGTAGTCTCAGCTTTGGTAAACTATCTCTCCAATTGAAGGTCATCAAATACAGCTGCTAATTATGGCTAGTGACAAAGGAAATAGGCTGATTCTCTGGAAATGGATGACAATGTCCCTTTCAGTCAGAGTGCAGAGAGGAGCATGGGTTACAGCTGTCTAATCTCAGGATGCTGTGGGTGCTCTGGCATTTAATTGTGAAGAGTCAAATCAAAACTTTGATGAATGATTGGGACAAAACATGGGTTTGTCTACAATACATTTCCCTATTAGAAAGGCTTCATTACAAACCCTTCAGGCTTTTTGGCTACTCATTAATCATGTGCAAATACATGAAGGGGAAGCTTAGGCTACAACTAAGGCATTTCAGCTCCTTTTCAATTACATGCCGTAGCCCAAAATAACACAAAAGCAAGGGGGATCTCTTGCCAGTTACTACCCACCCTCCCAGGAGCTCTGTAATGAGGAAGATGCTTCAGAAAATCCTGGAAGCAGTGCAGTGGGGTCAGTCTTGCCCTGAGGGTATGTTCCAAAATTGAATCTTTGTTATTTTATATTAAAATATTTAAACACAGTTAGATCTTTCTGTATCTGTCACTCACACATTTCTGTCTTTCACCAGTACTTACAGGGCTATATTACCATTATATCTGAAAGCCTCTCAATCTTTGCTGTGTTTAGCCTTACAGTGCCCCAGAGGCAATATCAATGCAATTTTTCCCATAGTGTAGATTGGTAACTGAAGCAAAGTACTTTACAGTGGAAAATAAAGCACTTTTCCCACCTTTGTTGATGTTAGCTTAAATAATTTGCCCAGGAGTGGGCAGGAAGTTATGAAGATGAAAACAACAGGTTTTTTAATCACAAATCACTCATTTTAAGGTTTGGATGCAGTATTCTTGTTGGGAATTTTGTGAAGATAGAGTTCAGCTGTATGTGAAATGCCAGAGACCTACTGCTGGTACAGGACACCCTAATTCCCTTCCTGGTGCACAGAGGGTGACTACCATGCTTCAGAAAAAGATCTGCAGGGCAGCTTCCTTACACTTTGGCAGGATGGAAAGAGACTTTCTGCTTCCTGCAATTGATGTGAACCTGCTGGCTTTTGGGTCCAACTTTCTCTTTGTTTGAATTTTGTGTTGGATGAGTTGACCAAAACATTCAGTGCATTTTGATCAGTGAAGCTTTTCAGCCAAGTATGCCTTTAAAAAAAAAATAAAGGAAGCCTTAAGGAAAAATACTTTTTTTTCTAAATTCAAAATGACAATTTCTTTTAAAATGCTTTATAAAACATCTTTAAAACTCTCAGAAAGCAAACATTTGCTTCAGTTCCTAGTATTTTTTTCTATTACTTTTCCTTTAAAATCCAATGGGGAAACCTTGACCTGAAACAGTTTCCTTTCTTAAAAATACTAGCTAGCCAAAAATTCATCCTGCTCTGCAGCTGTCTGGTGATGCTGGTTCCCAGCTCTGGGGTCCCCCTGTGCTGTGCGTGCCTGGGGGCACTAGAGGGAGCCTGCTGTGGAAGGTTGGGTGCTGGAGGCTTGACGGCAATGACTCTACCGTTTAACCGTTTGGGTATTTTCCTGTCAATAACCCTTGCCAACTTGCTACAAAGTTTGAACCTGGACTTTTCAGATTTTTAAGAAGTCTAAACAAACAGATCAGTGTCATTTTGCTGAAGACCAATGTCTTTGCATGATGCACTGGATAATGTCCAGACTTCAAAGAGATTTAGCTGCCTCCTTTAGTTGGATTTTTGAAAATCCTAGTGCTCACGCCTTCCACATTCTATTTCCTTTGGGTTAAAAGTGGGAGCCGCGTTTCAGACTTAGAAAAAGGTGATTTTCAATCCCAAAGATAAAGATTAGCATTAGTGTTCTACAGAAACACCACAGCACACCAAACAGCTTGAAGGGGGGACTAGCTCTTTTGTCTCTGCATGCTTGTAAACTAATTATCAGTGTTTCACAGGGCTGTAGCTGGAGATAATGCAGCTTCCTTAGCCATGTTTCATTTTCTTTAGCTTCACCTAAGAGGACTCCAGTTCTGTAGACACTGATATTAAAAATTCAGAGACCACAGGAGCCCTCCTTGATGTAAATGTTAATTATGCCTGTTCAATTTAGTGTTTGCAGTGCATCTCCTGGGATAGCAGAGGGACAAGTACATATGTTGTCCTACTACCTGAGAAATTATGATGACAAGAAGGAACTCTCTTTACTCATTTTCTCTAAGCCCTCACCCCACTGCGAGGTTTCACAGAATCACAGAATCACAGA